AGATAGATAGAGTAAGAGAGAGATAGAGAGATAGAGAGAGAGACCCAAACAGGAAAAGCCAAACAAAAGGCCTAAACACACTTTTACCTTTACCTTCGCTGGCAAATGAATGGAAAAAGGTTGACAATGTTTTTCTTCTGTTTGTTTGTTTTTTTGCACTCAAGTTCAAGTTTTGCTGGGCAAGAGCAAGAACAGAAATATGCACAGCTATGAACATTAGTTTCAATTTGGTAGAAAAAGGTATGTATGTGTGTATTTTGTAGGTCTCTCTAGCTTACCTTGCAGACCCCGACTTTTCACCTTGCCCTCCCCCTTGTGAGTGTGTGTTTATAAGAGCTTGTCGCTCCTGGTAAGTATGCAACACTTTTACTTTTTGCCTCTGTACTCCTCCCCAGGGGTGGCGTGTGAAAACAAGAAACGAACAAAAGCTGCTTAAAAACACCAGACCATAACAATGTAAAAGTGTTGTAGGAGCTGTCGAAAATATTTTACACCTTTTGCACTGCGACTCAGAATCTATGGGTCGGGTTTTGAGGGATGCGTACCTTATCTGGGTCTAAACGAAAAATATACACCAAAAGCTGAAGAACAAGCAACAAGGTAAACATTTTGCGGTAATTAAGAAAAATTACCTTGCCCAGCTGAGGAGAAAAAAAAACCAAAAAACCAAAAACCCAAAAAAGAAAAACACAGAAAAGCACAACAACAAAGCCCATAAAGTAGTCCTGGCCAGAAAGCCGAACTCTCTCTCTCTCTCTCTCTCTCTCACACAGACAGATAAAGTTGGCCAAAAACGAAAAGACAGTTGAAAGCGTCAGCTGTGGGAAACCCTCGTTCAGTTTTTCCCAACAACAACCCAACCATCCCCCTTACCATTCAACATTCTCACCCCTGTTCTTGGGTCTTTCACCATTTTCTAGTGGCTGCGACTTTTTGGTGTTAACTTTAAATTAGCAGCAAAGTGGAAAGTGTTGTCGGTTGGCTTTTAAAATGTTTTGCGGTGTATTTTATTTATCATGAAGTAGATCTGGTGTGGCAATTGTGCCACAGCCCTGCCTCCTTCATTTTGCACTGCCCACCTTGTCACTTTGGGCTGTCATTTGTCTGTCTTGGCCATGTTATAAAATAATGTGTAAATGTCCCTTGCCTTTTTTTTGTTTCATTTATACCACCACTCTTTGTTTTTTGTTTCTTCTTTTTTGTTTTTTGTTTAATTTAGTTAATGTCCTGCCTGGGTCCTTTTATGATGCCTTCTTGGGGACTATTTTTCCGCCTTTTTTTTGTCCTTTGCTGTTCATCTTATTTTTTGTTTCTGTCGTTGTTGTTTGGGGCTCATTTACCTTGAGAGTTGGCCCCAGCTTTATCATTAATGTGTGTGCTCAGTTCCTTAATTAGTGACGGGCATCGACCAAAAATATCGAGTAATAAAATACAAAAGTTTAGGAAGAAAAGTATATAAAAGGTGCTGGAGATATGCTAATTTATGCACTTGATAAATATTTTATGGCATTTCAAGGCCCTTTGCTTCATGGGGAAATTTTTGTTGAAAAACAGAAATTAGTACTTAGATTAGGAAAGTTTTTAATAGGCCATTTAATTGTGGCAGTTTTGGAAAATCATTTGATATAAAAATATCAATTTGTGAAATATTTATTATTGATATACGGAAGTGGTGCTTGGCCATTGTCATGCCTTTTTGCGGCTCTGGAAAGTGAAGGAACTGACTTTGTGGGATTAGGTATCGCGTAGTGGTTTCCATTTACGGCTTTGGAAGAGGGCACCTCCCCTTCTAGTTTCCTACCTTATTGTTCTGTTCTGTGCTTGGCGGGGAAAGCCGATTTGCTAGAGGTTGATGCTGCTGGGTCACTTTTCCAATGGTGGTAACGTGCTGAAAGTGGCTGATCCAGGATTTTGTCGTAGAGGGGACTTTCAGATACATTTTTTAGCTTACTCTTTTCAAGCAATTTATACGAGATGGAACACTGTAAACCAACCCTGCAAGTGATGAGAGGTCAAGTGCATTCATGGATCATCATTTAATGACTAGCTTTTAACGGCCTTTAGATACTGATAATGATTCAAGTTGTAGGATATACAAGAATGAGTACGATTTAAGGGTAATAAATCTAGTGTGCTGAAAGGAATTTAGCAAATAAAGTCAAGTTTACCTTACACAAGACTTAAACCAATCAATCAACTTTGTAAAATCTTTAAAAACTTTTATAAATCTTTTAATATATTCCAAGCAAGTTACCTGACAGGTAAATACTTCCCAGAAACTCTTGTATTTTTCCAACGAATACCAGTTAAGATCTTCTTCTCTTCGCCACCAATAAATCGCAATTACTCCAAATTGCCCGTAAATTGAATTAATTAGGATTTTAACACATTACGCTTGAGAGTTAAGTTTTTCACTTGAATTTGAATCCGTTTTCCGGTTTCACTTCTCTTACCAAGTAAAATTTAATTAAAGCAAAACCAACTAAGCGCATCATTTTACCGCTCGAGTCAAAAACGTATACGTAATTTCATTAACAATTATGAGCCAAGCGTTAGGGTTGCGCATCTTACATCATAAGCCGTGCGTGGAGATTGCAAGGGGGGAAGGTCGAAAGATTGGATTGATGTGTGCCACTTGACATGCCACGAAGTTGAAGGAGCAACACATATAACTTGGGATGGCAAAGACATCGTAAAAAAAGATTCGAGACGCTTACCGCTTATTTGGGAACCACCCATCCACCACCACCCTTTTTCAGCTAACTGTCTGTGGCAGCAACTTTTGCTGTTGTTGCTAATAAAATCAAAACTGATTACCACATCATCTTCAACGAGCTGAGCGGGAACAGAGCACCCAGGCACGGAGCTGAATACAGCGTAACGCTTCGGAATCGAAGCATGCATATCATATTACTCATACGCCACGTTATACAATTTACTTACAACGTCAACGAGCAGAACGTTGACAGCGAACCAAGACAAGACGAGACGAGACGATATGAGATGAGATGAGTAGCAAGAAGAAGCTCTGGTAGTTGTGGCCCAGATGAAGACAAATAGATGGCAACATCGTGGAGGACATACAAACAGGGGATTACACTGAGAGAAAATCTTAGATTAAATTTTTGTTAAATCTGATTTCTATTTAAGATCAGGGAATTTAAGATACATACAAAGAAAAGGGGTAAAAAATAGTTTTTTATTTATATTTTTTATGTGAATTTTAAGATAATATTTCCCGTGTATCCTCCTGCACATGTGAAAGCATGTGTGTGTGTTTCTGCAGGATGTGCGTGCCTGGATGAGTGCGCAAAAATGGCAATGGCAAAGAGCAAAAGCCAAGTGGCAAGAGCAAAAACAATTAATTGAGTGGGTGGCAAGCGGCACTAGAGTGCAGCGAAAGATAAATCGTTTTGCAATAGCGCTATAATTTAATCAAATTTGTCACTTTTGCAATTGAGCAAGTCGCGAGGAGTCTGCCGCTCTGTTGGAATTTATGAATGGCATTTCAGGGCATGGCATCTAGACAAAAGGTGAGCAGCTCTGGCACCCTTACCATCACTGGTAACTCAATCTTCGGCATCATAGTGATGGGGAGGGGAGTGAGGTAGCAAGTGCGTGCCAGGGCATCGCGTTCGCACTTTGTAAATTCAATTTGAAATGCGCTTGATGCGCACAAAGGCAGGTACAAGCCCACCTTGTGCACCTTATGCTCACATTGCAAACCTCGCCCAACCCTCCTTCTTTTCCACTCTTTCTCAAAAACCCTACAAGTGCCACCACCCACTGGATGGGGTGTACTTTTTCAGTGTCGCTGATGGCCAAACAAATGCCAGCTAGCTAAGCGGTTTGTCAGCGCAATGGGGGTCAGCAAATGGAGGGGAGGCTAACGATAAACGTCATTGATGACGACCCAGCACGAGCAGGTGACCCTTCAACCCCCCCCCCCCCTCTGCGATTAGGTGAATCGATTAACCGTTCTCGTAATTGAATACAAGCTCACCAGCCGCACGCACTTATTTTGCTGCAGTGTACGCAATTTGTTGTTGCCATTACCCGTGGAATGGTCGCTAAAACTGCCAACAAATTCTCAGTTACGCTCTCACGTACGAGCCACTCACACAGATGCAAGTGCAAACACACACAAGCATATACACACACACACACACACACACATACAGATACAATCAGCTCGAGCACCTTTCACAGAATGCACCAACCAATTTCAACAAATCTGAAACCTCCTTCTACACTAAAAGAAATGCAATCGAAAAGCAAAGTAAAATACAAATCTCTATTAATAAGTTTCATTCAGCTTGAAGGCTAAAAGAAATTTCCATTAAAAAACTTAAATTTTTGTATACGAAATAAACTTTTTTTCTAAGTGTATACCACCACTGCAATGTTAAACATTTTATCAACGCAGAGAAAAGGAAAGGGGAGCAAAAAACTCGTTCGAATTTTTAAACAAAAATCCAAAAACGTTGGCCATAAACGAAGAGGTAACCAAACCAGGCATCCAGCCTGCGGGAAAACTAGGAGGTAGGTGAAGAGAGGTGAAAGCTGGTGTTGTGGAAAGTGAAAAGTGGAGGTTCGAGGGGTTTTTGTGAATGTTATTTTTCAAACATCAAATGTTCTGGCAACGTTGACGTCAACACGCGGGGTCCAAGGTAAAAATGACGCTACTTTCATTGCTGTTTGAGCTTCCTTCCTTCCTTCCTTACTTCCTCTCTCATCCAAAAAGCATTCCCAATTGGCTGCATTTCCCAGGTCAGCCATCGGCCACGCCCCTCGTTTTTCCATCCATAGTTGCCACTGGCATATCGCCTGACCAGGCCATTTATTGCAATATCAAAATGTTTCCTTTTCGGCGTTGAAAATGATTGAAAAATATTCGCCGTTCTTGGCTCTTTAAAGTTTTCGTAAACAATTTTTGCTGATTTTTGCATTACAGGTGTTCCGGCAAGATTAGTTAATGATTTTCTCTACTATTTTTCCAGGTTATCCTACAAGGAATAATGCTCAGACTTTTGCTGGTTCATATAATAACGATATGTGTGCTAATAACTAATGTTAAGTCTGGTGTGCCAATTGGTAAGTAAAAGTTTAAAAAGAAGTTAAAAGTTATTTTGATTGGAATTTTGAACTCTTTCATAAACCCAAGGAACCGGCGGACCTTCAATTATATTGGAGAGCAAAGATGCTTTATTAACCTGCGTAGTCTCAGATAATTCCTCGAACAACACAGTAATATGGAAGAAGGGTGACGAGATCCTGACCGCCGGCACAGTCCGGGTAACCAAGGATCATCGAGTGCGAATCCTGCACGATGAGAGTAAGTTTTACAAAACCCATTAAGGGTTCCTCCTTCATAATCCATAAACAAATATTTCGTTTTTTCATCATTAGATCCAAGGGGAAAGAACCTGGAGACGGGTGGCGAGGTGTGGGTGCTTTTGATTAAGAGTCTTAAGCCCAGCGATTCGGGCGCGTATATATGTGAGCTTAACTCGGATCCCGTACTACGCAGCATCCATATACTGACGGGTGAGTGTAGAAGTTATTAAACAAGCAAAAATTAAGCTGCTTAAAAGTTACTCTAGAATTTAACTTAAATTTAATGTTTAAACTAACAATTATTTTCTGTGTATGGCAACTTAATTTCACGCCTTAACCAATGATAGTCAAGGAGCTGCATTCGTCGACGGGTGGTCCGGGAAATTCCACGGATACATCGACCGCGGAGTCGAGTGATGTGTTTCTGTTGCCGCCACCGTTGGACGCGCAGGATAATCGCAGCTTTTGGAGGCCCAGTCAAGTGCCACCGCTGGTAACCCATGATTTTACCGAATGCTGCGAACGGGCCAATGTGTCCACGCAGTGCATGGGCTTTTGCAATGTTCATAACATTCTTGACGGCACCACTGGCATCGATCCGGAGGCCTGTGAACGCGACTTCCCAGGCATTGTACGCTGCATGGCCGATGGCCGCAACCATGTACCCTGCTGTGTGGACAAGCAGATTCCGGACTTATGCCAGGACATGTGCCGCGGCGAATACACACCCTTTACGGACAAGCTAAAGACTCGAGTTTCCTGCGTTCAGCATACGCTCAGTGGGCTGCAATGCATCTTAAAGGGTGTACAGTTGATACCAAGTTCCCCAACCTTCGTGACGATCGAAAATGTTAGCGAAACGAGCGTGACAGTCGGTTGGACGGCCCCGGATAAATTAGCTGACCGCGTTTCTGGTTATACCATAAACGTGACCACTTTGCACAGCTTCGATGAGGATGAGTTAAGCGGTGAGATTGTACATCATACGGCTGCTGATTCCCCGGAATCGATTAGCCTTTATACGGTGCCCACGAATCAGACTCAGTTGGTGCTGAAAAACCTTAGCCCATTGACCATGTACGCCGTTGTCGTTACGGCCACCAATGAATTTGGTTCAAGCTTACCCACAGAGCGTTTGAGATTCTTTACCCATACCAGTGCCTCGGCAGCGGAGTCGCAAGCTGGAACCACCGATAAGCAAGCGATGCCTCAACTACCCGATACAAGACAATGTTGTGAGGATAATGGGATGACCCATCGTATGTGTCTGGATAAGATGTGTGATCCACAGAAGACCGATCAGGCTAATTTGCCTGATTTTATGGTTTGCGCTCCATGGTCGAATATTACCTTTAATTGTCTGGCAAACAATATTGATCATACGCCCTGTTGTCGGGCTAGGGGAATACCTCCGGCTTGCTTTCCCCTCTGTGCTGGCAAGTTGACTTCACTGGACTTTAGTTTGTTCAAGTAAGTTAAGGGTTAAGGTAATGAGAAATGAATTTTATATATAAAAAATAAATCCTTGTCATGATATTGTGTTTATTCCTTATACCTATTTGCCATTGTTTCATCATTGATACTTCTCATAAGGACTCTCAAATATGAATCGATAATCATCAATGAGCTGCTTATTCTACTGTTAAACGCTTACCAAGCCCATCCTTGTCTCGGGGAACCCATAGGCCGTTAAGCCCTAATATCAATCTCCATTCCCATACCCATTCCCATTCCCATTCCCATTGCCATTCCCATTTCCACACCCTTATCCGGCGCCCAAACACAATGCTACTTGCTAATGACTCCGCAGGATGAGTTTTTATGCCGAATGCCAATTACAGAGCTCTGCTCCCCTCTGCTCTTCGGTTATTTGCAGATGCCTGCGCTTCATGTCCGACTACAACAGCTGTCTGTTCCAGGGCTATGGGGTACTGGCCGATCCGCCGTCAAAGCTACGGACAGTCGCCAAGACGGACAGCTTCGTGATTCTGGACTGGAACAAGCCGAAGCGCCTGGCAGACACCGTCAGCACATATCACGTCAAGTTCCGACGGCTGGGAGTGGGTGATGACTATCTGACCGTGGAGAAGGTATTACACTGAGAAATATTATGATTAAAAAGTTTTAGTATCAAGAATTTATATATTAAAATGTTAAAATTTCTTAAGTAAATTATACAATAATCAGTTTTATGGCCGAATAGCTTAGATTTCTTGCTGCTAGAACTCACATTTTTTTTCTTGAGTGCCATAAGCTGCTGGCTCGTAAGACCACTACCCAGAAATGTTTGGCTAATTCATTAAGCTTTACAGCGCCAGCCGCCATTGATTCTCGAGGGTCTGGAGTCGGACAAACACTATGAGTTCTTTGTCGTCTCCATAAATGCGTACGGCAAGAGCGAGCCCTCCCCGCGTCTGATCACCCGGACTTTGCCGGCAGAGCCAGTCCAGCAGACGACCGCCAAATACAACATGACGACCTGCTGCCTGGCTTCAGGACTATTACCACAATGTGCCCCCCTATGCTCCTACAACATTCGACTGTCCGATATCGAGCGACTGGGACCGGCTTGTCGTGCCCAAATGCGTAAGTAACAGCTGGATTTTTCATCCGGTTGGGGGACTGACTACCCCGTACCGCACGATATCATCATCTCCCTTGGAAAACACTAATTAGCAGCAGGATAGTCCGAACTGGCTCATTGTCCTCTGGACTTTTGTTAATTTAATGAGCTCATTTTGCAATTTTTCGTTCCATCTGCCGATGCAATTTCGAATATTAAGTGACGCGCTATGCGGCATTTTTGGGGGCCATAATGAATATTCTGTACTTATGCAAATCAATTTTTAGTTAATTAGACGGACACAATCCCCCGGAAAATGGCCAACCAGAGAGAGAGAGAGAGAGAGAGATGTTTGATGTTGCTAAATGAATGGAAATTTTGCAAAATGGTTATAACATTGATGTCTGTTGGCAGCAGATTGTTAGTGTTTGCCTTGGCTTATGTAATTTTAGAGGAGTTTGACTGTATAACATTGTTTGGCAACGCTTCAGTTCGAGTAAACAATGTCTTTCATAACTGATTCTACTAAAGCTTTTGTTTGTTTCCCATTTAATTTAATGGTTAATGTTGATAACTGAATTTTCTTGGCTCGGTTCGGGTTAAGTGTCTGTTGTAATGTTATTAGGTAATAGGTTTTACGTTAAGGGAGAAATCTGCAGCTTAGTAAAAGTTTTTTGTCTTAATTTAAACATAAAATAAGAAACTTGTATCAAAAATGTTTAGATATTAAATATGGGGTGGCCCACATAAGATTTGCGTTTGAAAATATAAATATTTCCAAATTTTCTTAAATCGTAAACTTAACCATTTCCTAAACCTTAAACCTTCTACTTAATATCTCACTCATTGCCAATGACATTCGAAAAGTCAAACTCAAAATTATACATAGTTCAAAAAGCAAACCCTACAAGGGCCACCCTGTATATCAATCAAAGCTCTTTGAATAATTATTGATTTTTATGCAATCACAGCTTAGCCTAAACTTTCTTAGAATTTCTAACATTATCTTTCTTTTGTTGTTTTCTGCATAAAAAAAAACACTCAATGCCAAAAATAAACCCAGTCATTCTCAATCAAAAAATTGAATCTGGTTCAATGCCAGCGATGAGTGGACAGTATTTTGGCTACCCAATTTAGCCATCACCTAGTCAATGATAGGAAATCTTTCGGTTAATTTCCTGTAAATTGCCGTCCAAGTTGCTGACTCATGCCAGAGATCCTTTAAATTATCACATCTCTCTCTCTCTGTGAGTTTGAGTGGCTAACGGGGCGGCAGAATTGATGAGTTCATGTCACAAATTGTTCCATAACAGAGCACAATGAGCCGTATCTTGGAGTTGGTGGGGCGGTTTATGCAAATTTTGCCACAATATTAACCCATCTGGCGCTCAAATCCTTTAGCAATCCTGGCCCGTTGTGCTGCCGGAGGACGTGATCATAGTCCATGCTGCAGTCGCCGTGGAGTCATTAACGCCTGCATGCCCCTCTGTCGCGGTGTTATGCCGCTTGCATTGACCACCAAATCGGCAACAGCATCGGCGGCTGCATCGGCAACATCATCATCAGCAGCAGCGGCAACATCTGGTTCGGCCACCAGCAATGGCGGCAATGCGGCAACAGCAACATCATCATCATCATCATCATCTTCAACGTCAAGCAATGTGCCCGATTGTTTATCATATGCCGGCAACATTCTGCAATGCTTCGAGGAAGGTGAGTAGCGGAATAGTACAGTAGTGGCAGTTGTTCCTGCCTTTCGTCCACATCCTGGTCTTTGTCTATTCGAGTGCCCAGTGTTGAGATTGGTTTTCGAGTTGTGACTGCCAGTGAATGAAGCTCAGCTCATTTGAATTTATCCCGTTCAATTCACTCTTAATTAGGAAAGTTGCTAGATGGATTTTCTAGTCATTCGATGGCTGAAGTTTTCAAGTTTCGATAGAGGAATATCTATCTTATAGTACAAACTTGTTTTCTTATGAAATAGCATCCTTAAACTGTATTAAAAATCAACAATTTATAAAATATATTTATGATAATGTAGTTAACTTCCCTCAGTCACTGATAGATCACAGCTTTTCATCCACCACAACCAGGCAAACTGCATCACTGGTCACACCCTGTGTTATATCCATCTGTTGGTCTTGCCCGATGGGCTGCCGTTGGCCTTGCTGGGCTGTGTGTGTTTGCAGCTAATTCTGTTTGTTTAATGGCGTGTCTATGCACGTCGAGTATACGCACTGTTGCACGCCATTGTGCGCTAAATTATTTGGTCAATGCTTTGGGGCAAACCAACCACAGGCCCCGGCGCACAGACAAAACCAATATTGGCCAATTAAAGTTGCATTATAAAACAAAACAATGACATTTTGCTCATTCCTTCTATCAAACCAAACAGGCACACAGAATATCCCAGGACCGCCAGAAGATGTGCATTCAACGTTTGTGAATCAGAGTAGTATCAGTTTGGCCTGGACACAACCTGATGTGGAAAGCAGCAATGGTAGTAACAATTCAGGTAACACATCGCCAGGTGACATGATAACCGGCGATGAACTGGCAGCTGGTGCCGTGGATCCGGCTGCCTTGGATAGTGCTGGTAAGGATGGGCAGAATGTTGGCGATGCCACAAGTGGAACAACTGGAACGGAGGATATTGAATTCATCGTGCAATATGGCAAAGTCAATAACATGACCATGTACGAGACAGTTGCCAAATTGGAAAATGTGAGTATATATCGATTTGGACAATAGACCGTCTCTATCTAGGCACAAACTTTTCTAGAACTATTCCTCCCCTTCTTCCGCACCTGTGAGTTGGCTTGGAAAAGTTTTTTGGCTTTTTTTTTTTTTTTTTTTGGCCCAGGCAGGCTCAGAGAGAGAGAGTCACAGTCAGATTCAGAATCACACACAAAAACACACACACACACACACACACATAATGGGGCACTTCATTTGCATTGGGGCCTGCGGGCGGTCGCCTTATTACGATTTGCCTTTTGGGGCCAAAATGCTGACATTATATATATTCGAGTGCCAATGGAATTGAAAAGAGCTTACAAATTGCCTTGTCTGAGCAGTGAAGGCCAAAAGACCGTAGAGCCAGGGCCAGGAGGCAGGACAATAACCATTTCAACATCAACTTTCCAACCGGGGAAGAACTTAAATTGCAAAGCCGGAGTTAATGAAGAAGTTCGGGGAGGGGACAGGAAATTGCAACCATAACAAGCAGTCATATTAGCAGATATTGTGGTCGTTGCCATATACACGGCGTATGAGCAACGTGAGAGAGTCTACTAATTGTTCAATTAAGACATCAAGTGGAAGTTGTAGTCTATCTAGCATCTAAAATCATAATAGACGCATGGGAAATGTGTACAGATAGAGCTCACTAAATTAATTCGTTGAAATTACTATTATTTGTGTTATGAATTTGTGTTTTCCTCTTAAAAAAAAAAGACCAAGATTTATGGGTATAAATTTAATTCGGATAAATCAATAATAAATATTTATTAAAAAACATAAATTTATTACCGATTTTTGGTTTATATAACAAATGAAATAATTGAGTTTAATCGGCGACATGCAAATCTGCAGGCACTGCCTTACTAAGGCTTAACATTGATCCAGAAAGATAAAATCAAGTTTTGTTTTTATTTTAAATTAAAAAAAAAAAAACATTTATTATTTTAATCAATAAAAATACACACATCATATTATTATAAAAAAAAAATGTAGAATTTCTACCCCTAGGTAATTGTAAATTGAATATTTTTTTCTGCTTTAAATTCAGGCAACTTTTGATAAAAATATCCGAACACATGGCGTATGAGTAATATTTGCAGTTAAGCCAATTATTCAATTATTTATTTAAATCCTTGGCCATCGGCTAAATCTCACTAAATGCATATATCGATGGCCATTGTTTATCCATTGAATCGACTGAAATCAATTGGATTTCCACCAAAAACTCCCAACGAATTTCAAGTGCAATCCCCCCTAACCAGCATATTCAGCTTAAATATATTTTTAAATCTATATATATATATATATATATATATCTTTATACCCTATGGCATATAGTTTTGGTTGGCCAACGCTAATCCAATTCAGTGTAATAATCTTTGAACTCTGTCCAAAAACATCGATTCAAGGGGGAGGTTGGCCAGGTTTAGAGCTGTCCAGAGCTATGGGCAAAGTTTTTGACGCCTTTTCAAGTGGGGGAGGAGATGGGCTGAGGGGACTTATGGCCGCCATATGCATTGGCAACGTGCAAAACGTGACTATAAACTGCTAAAAATTGCAGCCGATACACCAAAAAAAAAAAAAAATTATATATACGAGTAGATGATAAAAAAAAAAGGAAAAAGAGTAAGCAAAACCAAACAACGGACCAAAGTTGGCTCTGGCTTTGCCATTGGCATTGTTGTAATTGTTGGTGTTGCAAATTTGTTGTTGCTTTTCCTTTTTTTTTTAATATTTTTTGTTGTTTTTGGCATTTTGTTGTTGTAGTTATTGGCCGTTGTTGTCACACATCAACGCGCTTTGCTGGCAGCTGGGCCTGGTTGGTGTTGCTGCTGCCGTTGCTGTTGTTGGTGTTGCTGCTGCAGCATCAGCCATGGCCATCAACAGAGTTATTGGCCTCGAAAAACTTGCAAATGCTAAAAAATACAGCAATACGGCAACAACAAAAGCCTGGCCAGAGTTTGTCGCGTGTTGATGCGCACAGAAATGTATTTAAAGTGGGGTCGGCACTGTCGTTTGTTGCTGTTGGCATTGCTGTTGCTGTTGATGTTGCTGCTGTTACTGTTGTTGCTGTTGCTGCTGGGGCCAATGCAACCTGTCGTCGACGACCTGCCAATGATGCTATAGCATCAGTGAGTCGATGGGAGGTGTTACCGTGAGATTCGTTTAGGTACGACCATAGGTATTTGAGTTTTTGATTGTTTTAAGATCAAGTTTGATATTTACAGAATTAATTTTATAACTTTAATTTTTAACATAATTACTTAAAGGTCTAAGCTTTGTTTTTATAAAAATCTAAAGAAAGATCGTTTACCATTACGTTACATCATAGACAATCCTAAGTCATTATCTCATATCTAAGCTATGTAAATTCAATCTCAAAATCTACAAACCTTGTGTTCAGTACTTATTCTTTTTTTAGTTAGACTTTGCTGTGTTTGGAGGCAAATTTAAACTTGTTTCCCTCAGCGATTCATTGCCATGCCTTCGATTAAATATGAATGATTGATCATGAGGTGGGAATCACAGTTTCTATTGACAGCTCGCAAAAAAAAAGAAGAAATCCCCCAAAACAATCGTGACAGAATCTTTCGTCACGTGAGCAACTCTACACCAGAAAACCAATCGATATGGAAGATACTGTGCGGTGTCAGCTTTGCTTTGAGTTTTTTTTTTCTTTTCATATTCTGAGCTGTTTTTTGCTGATTGTGTTGTGGAAAATTCATTCGCCCTGTTGGCTGCTTATTCTTTTTTTTCTTCTTTCGTTTTTTGTAGTTTTTTTTTGGTTTTTTTTGTTTTATTTTTCACTTGCTTTGGTCAGCAGTGCACGCAGCTGTTGCGGTGATGCTGTTGCTGTTGGCTTAACTTGGGGCTGGCTTCGGCTTGGCTTAAATGCTTTTCAGTTTTGCCGTTTTTGCGGTGCCACCATCTCGTCCGTTGGTCCTTTGGTGTCAAATGGTTTAAACGCGCCTTGCGCGACCCCATCTGAATGGGTTATTGTATCGCCTATATATATATCTCGCATATATATCTATAAGTTCGTGGCTATCGGTATAGTACACCAGCAGCCTGCAATGCGTTGACTCAGTGTGACACTTTTATGGACAAACTTAATTGCTTTTGGACGTGTCAGAAATGTGTAGAGAATGTTGGGGTACGGGTAGAAAACCTCATCGAACCACTGGGCCAAGACTAATGGCTGGCAAAGAGTTGTGTGCTTAAACTAGCAATAGCAATTCCCTTCCAATATTTAAAGGTAATTTCGCTGGGCTGCCTGCTGTGTTTTTGCAACCCTTCCTGATTGAATCAGTGCCAATAATTTGGCAATTTCTATTCGTCGCCAATGCACGGCCGGCATTGTGTCACCAGCAGCATCAGCAAACAAACAGACCTACAAAAAAAAAAAAAACATTATTCGAATCTACAGGATATTACATACCATCAGGACAACGCAGGGTGACGTTACGGGCTGGGGGAAAACGGAAATAAAAGGTTTTCCTCCACTGTCGCTGCTTTTCAAATGATTCTCTCTGTTGATTCTGGCCGAAAACGAACGTAACTTTTGTGATGATTTTTAGTGCCGCCGCTCTGCGTTAGTTGGGAGTTGGACTTTTATTCCTATTTGTATTTGTGTTTGTGTTTGCCAAACACACGACCATAAAAAACTTTTTAATATAGCCGGCAACACTGGAGAGAAGTACAACGAATAAAAAAAATAGGGAAGGGACTGACCACGATGCCAGAAATTAGACACATTAAATATTCTGATACAGCTGTGAAGGAGCCAAAGGGGTTTGGGTCACGGCGATTATGTGCTTTGTCACTGCAGTCGACTTTGGGCCAAGACAACTGGTAAATGAGCGACCAGGGACCTAGTTTTATGGCCGGAATGTGACTCCCGTTAAGGGGAAGAACTTCAGATATAGCAGATAGACACTGGAAATAAAATGTACTTCTTTAAAGTTATTAACATACATTTAAAATAAAAGTAAGTGGTGGAGCTGGTACATGGTCACCTTAAATATCGATATAATTCCGATATGCGATGATCCGAGATTAAGCTAAGACAAGGTTCTAAAATCCAATAAGGAAATGGTAAAAGATTAAAAGGTGTAGTGACTACACGGTCACCTTAAATATCGATATGATTCCGATAACCGATGAACCGAGGTTAAGATCATTGATTGTTAAGCAGTTTTCGATTCTTGGTTGAGAACTGAAATAAAAGAATCATATCGAGCATACAAACTAATACAGTCTGACAATTAGACTTGGAGTTGCCATATTTTCTGAATTTCTTTAAGATTTCTTTCAATTTAATCCCCAATTTTCTGCAAGTGCAATAGCTAAGTAGTAAAAGACATCGCGCTATGCATTTTGAGCAGCTATTCAGCTGGAGTAGTTACTGGGGACTCACCTCGATTTCTGGGAGGTAACCCTATTAATTATTTAGTTAGGACCAGCTCGTCATGCCAATTGTGGCACATTTAAGTTGCGGTTAATGTAATTACGAAGGGGGGAGAATGAAAAAGCAAAGCAAAAGCTACACACACACACACACACAGAGAGAGGACACACGGCTAACTAAAAGTCCTTTGGCTGCTATTAGTGTTGCCCTTTTTTTTTTCTTGCTGTTGGGGCCTGTCGAGAGCATAATAAATCGTTTTTCCCTTTTTGCCTTGCCTTGACAATCTTTTTGGGCTTTGAATTTAATGCGTTTTAGATAAGTTTCTAATGGAAGGAAATTAGTATTGAGCCGGGCAATTTATTCTCTCGGGCAGTGGTCACTAAATTCTAGTTAGTTTATCTATGGAGAGGAGTACCTGTGTCAAAATGGAAGTCTCTATCTTTGACTTTAACCCCTACTCACTGCGTTTCTGTTTCGGACGGGTTCTAAGGTTAAAATGGGTCCACACTCCTGCTTGGCATCTCATATTTGACACAAGTTGTCACAACCAGGGCAGAAGTGAACCCCCCGCAAATTGAGATTTACGACTTGACCCGGGCATGGCCACAAAAAAAAAAAACAAAAAACATCTAACCATAAGCGAGATGAACCTCTATACATATTTAGAGATGTTGGCCAAACTGGCTCCACGAACAGATGTCCAACATCGCTCTGACATTGACTTACATACTCAAAATGACTCGTTACGCCGGATAAGCTCGTTGACTATTTGCCGGGGCCAGGGCAGACACGGGGGCGTGGCACTGAAATCAAATAATTTTAGCGCATTGCCAGCACTAAGTAGCTAAAATAACAAACTCTGTTGGCCAATAATGATGATGATGATGATGATGCTGATGCTGCCATGCCATGCCATGCTGCTGATAAAAACAAGTTAATGCTGCCCCCCAGAACTGACTTTGCTTTAAAAACAAACAACGCTCGGGCCATAAAACGAAATAAATTACTTAACGCGCCGCATTTTTTCGCACTGGCCACGCAGCCAAAAATGCAATTAAAGGCCAAAAACCGCACCGCGACTGCGACATCTGCAAGAGATTAAAAAACGAAAGAGAGCGAAATAACACAGCAGCAGTGGCAGCAGCAGCAGTACAGCAGCATCAGCACAGCAGCAACATCAGTAAAGCAGCAGCAACATCAACATAGCAGCAACATCGACCAGTCAAGCGATTCGGTGTGTAAATGATTGAGATGGTTTTGAGATTGTAGGGTGTACAAAGAGTAGGCTTTAAAGATTTTCTTAACTTTTTGTAAAATTTATAATTATATAAGATATTAAGAAAGTTCATATTAAAAATGCTAAAAACGAATCGTAGACTTTTAGAAAACTTACGCTGTGCAATGACTGAAAACATTTTTATAATAATCAGGCTAATAATTCAGCTTAAATATGACATTGTCGGATTTCCCTTTACTGATATTTTATAATCGCATTCATAAACCAAATCCATATGCCTCACAATTCCCAAAAGGGTAGGTCATCTATCTGCCCTCGAAGCTGTAACACCAACAGATTACGCTAACGATTTTTAATGTGGATTTGCACCAAGTGGGAGGGGGTTGAGTCGTGGAGTGAGGAGAGGTCACATGGAGTGTTTGGCCTGTCTGTCGGTGCTGTCCTTGGGAAAAGTCCATGCATAGACCAGTGTCCGAGATATAGCTGTCAATTTGGAGGATGGCTTTTGAAACAAAATAACGCCAGTCGAGATGGACGGAGTAGGGACATGAAACTGGGGAACTGAATCACAGATAGCGACAGGGACAGACCGATGAGTTGAACGAGTGTGACAATGGCATACTGCGAATGACTCTGATGACGATGATGATGCAGCCTGGATTGGACGTTAGAGAAAACTGAGGGTGTGGTGTCATTTGGCTGGCTAAATACCACAAATTGCGCTGCGTGGCAGCAATTACAAAAAGTACTAATCATGGCGACATGTCTTTCAGCGAAATCAAGCCAAACCACAGCCATGGGGCAGACGACGACAGCAAAACAAGACTGGACTCATTTTTTTGTTTAAAGGGAACTAGATAGAGTACTCTCTATAAAGGGGATACAAATTTTGAGGTTAATTGGGAAATGAAAGTATTTAAAATGTAAGCTTTTTTATTAACTAAAAACTATTTAATGATTAATTTAACTATCATGACTTAACCTCTTAATATTAGGTATACCCAAAGTCGACTTCTTTTTCTGCCATATTTTTCGATTTGGCCTTTTTTCATAGCAATTTTCCTACATTTTTTTCTCGTTCTCGTTAACGTCTCGCCGCCTGCTATTCACATGCAATTATACACTTAGGAATTGACCACCAATGAGACGAGTATCGATTTGACCAATTTGGATTCGAATGCCTTGTACCGCATTACGGTTGTGACGCGCGGCAAATTTGGCACATCGCTGCCGGCATCGATGCTTTTGCTGAATACAACGGACCAACAACGTACCAACGAAGGTGAGTTGGCCAAAAATCCATTCCCAAAACTGAGTTGATTTAATTGTTTTGCGGTGGTCCATGTGCCGTGTGTGTGTGTGTGTGTGTGTATTGCAGATGGTGTGGCCTGGGGTGCCCCCTCACCACCACATTCGCTAACGGTGGTGGCACACAGCGCCACCTGGATGCAGCTCACCTGGCAGCCACCAGAGTATGCCCATCCGCATGAAAGGATTACCTACAGGTGAGCAAAGGGAATCTAGCCTAAAGCAGGAACTATACAGAACAGAAATTAAACTTAAAAGTCTTTAAAAATGTAAAAAAAAAAGAGTGTCATTATTTCCATTTAATGTCCATCTTAAAGTTATTAGCTTAAAGAGCAATTTGGTCAGCATCTAAACCTCTTTTCTGCCCCTGCAGAGTTTACCACAAGGCCATGAGAGCCGAGCAATTCATAAAGATTGAAACGAAGCTGGCCTGGCTGCGAATGAACAACCTGAAGCCAAGCTCCCAGCATGTTCTCTACGTGGAGGCTGTGGGAGAACGGGGTGATTCGTTGCCCTCGGAGACGCTGGTTGCCTGGACGGATCCCGCACTGCCCGCCTTTGTTGATGTGAGTGTTCTCCACAGTCTACTCACTCAGACACACATCTACCATATTATTATTTTCGGGTTAACTGAGGTGTACTCTACTTGCAGCCCCCCACTGTGCATCCGGCTGACAACATACCTGAGGGCGGTTCCATGACCATTCTCTGTCTGGCCTTGGGCAATCCGGCACCTACCATTTCGCTATACGTTGGTGGACATCTGGTCAGGCAGGACACCTCGCGGCACATGGTCACGGTCATTCACAATGTGTCGGCCGACATGGAGCATGTCTCTTGCTATGCGGACAACGGTTACGGAGTACCCATGCAGGCCACCAGGAGGGTTAACATATGCTGTAAGTAATGCAATACGGGTTAATTCGCTTAGCTGCCTTATAGTGGCAAGAGGATTTTCATCATAATATGAAGAAAAGTTAATCTTGAACTTAAAAAGTTATTTCCTGACTTGAGGAAATTTGCAGCTAAGGGAATTTCGCTTAAAAATACTTAAAATATAACTTAATTATATCAAATTTTCCCTGCAGATCCACCCAAAATCCAGGCAGCTGGCATTACGGTGGCTAATATTGGTGATGAAATCGAACTGCGGTGCACTGTGGACAGCAAACCGGCGCCAAAGACAATTTTCTGGAGAGAAAAAGATGGTAGAGTGCCTGTCATAAATGGCGGCAACTATTTTATTTCCGTTAAAGCCAATGAATCCCGGCCATCGATATATACGATGTCGTTAAGGATCAGCAAACTGCAGGCGAACGATGTCGGTGATTATTTCTGTCATGCGGATAATCCGTTTGGGGCCACCACTACGCCGGTATCGGTGCGTATACGCAATACGCCGGCGCTTAATCACAACGTTTCCGAATGCTGTGCCGAGCAAAATGTGACAATGGGATGTCGCAGTGCCTGCAGCTATTATGTGGACTTTGATGCCATTGCCGATCGTCCTGAGTGCATTGTGGACTTTGACAAGCTAATGCGTTGTGCCGCCGATGGATCGGATCATAGATCCTGTTGTGCCGATGAGCATGTTCCACGAAAGTGTCTGAATTGGTGTCGCGGTGAATCGGTGCGTTCCAAGGAAATTTGCAGTTTGCAGTATTCCCGAACCATTGTCGGTTGCTTTGAGAAGAATCGTGATCGATTGCCAGGACCGCCGGAGAATATTGTGGTTAGCGTTGTGTCGGATAGTGAAGTCAATATAAGGTGAGTTTTTCTATTATAATTCAACTTCTATACTGCAAAAATTGTTATCAAATACTAGTTTAACTTGACTTGACGTTGAATAACATTACCTTAATGGAGAGTTCTATAGAACTTCTATATAAACTTAGAGTACTTCCTTCGTCGTCATATCCTCAAATACTAATAAAATCTATTTTGGGCGAATGAGCCAGCTACCTACCTACAAAGTTTAACCGAGCATAAGCCATTTGGCTTTAAGCCCCCCGAAACTATGTGGGACACGTTCCAACCCCTCGGCTAAGCTCTTAAACACTTTTGTCCGAAGCGGAAGTAGACTCATCCATTTAGCGCACCAAACCCAATACATTCATTATCCTTCTCTGCGCCACACATCCTCTCATGTGGGGATCTCTTTCTCTGTGACTATGTGTGTGTGTGGTAGAGTGTGGATGAAGGGATGTGCCACTAATAGACCGCAAATCCATTAAAGCTGAGATTTTTTTTTTTATCTCACTTTAATACACTCGGTCAACGTCAAAGGTTGATGAGAGGTCTAGAGAACTCTGAACCTAGTGCGGTGCCGCATTAAATTTATTAAAATTCCAGACAAGTTGTGCGCCTGCAACAATATTACCAAGCACTCATAATGCGGCGCCGTCGCTCTATGAAAACTATTTCATTACAGATGGGATGCGCCGACAAAGAATCCAAATGCCGTTGACGGCTATAGAATATTTTACCACGAGGCCGCCGTTCTGCCGCCGACATTGAGTTCGGGCACTGGTACCCCATCCTCGGAACAAAGTTCCTCGATGGATAACCATGGCATGGATAACCTGGCCGCCATGAATAATGCAACAAGTATGGGTGGCAGCGGCAGCAACAATGCGATGGCTGCTCTCGAGATACGACGCATCGACGTAAAGGACACAACAATAAGCATTAATGGCCTCAAGAAGGATGTGCTCTACGAGTTGGTGGTTAAGGCTGGCAATAGCTACGGTAAGATTACACGAAAGGCTCGTGGAGTGGCATGAAGGAGTAGAAGATGGAAGGATTCTTGGTTGGATTTTAATTTGCCGACTTGTCTTGCAGGTGCCAGCGTGCTCACAGATCCGATTAGGTTCACTCTCGGCGAGCACCATGTGACTTCGGCCACTAGCAGCTACTCCAGTGCCGTGGGTACCATCAGCGGCATTGTGGCCAGTATTTTGGCCATTCTCCTGGCGGCGGCGGCCATTGTGTTCTATCGCCGACAGCGTTCCAGCTATGGAAAGTCCGCCAACGGCAATGTGGCGTTCGAGAATCCCACATACACCCGGGGCCTCGAACAGGTGCAGGTGTGTACAACGATCGATTGCCAATTTTTTTCCATCATTCTGTTTTATTAGAAGGGTAGCTTTAGGGTATATAAGATATTGGCCTGGCCTGGTTTAGTTTGGGAGAGGAAGAAAGTATAAAAAGTCTAAAATTGAAGATGTCTATTTGACTTGATCTTTTGTGTTAAAGGAAGAAACAGTTTTAAATTGTTAAATATTAAAAGATATTAGCCAATTGATACTTATTTTAATTTAAAATTGAATATAAACAGATTAAAGAGGGAATTCTATTCTCTCTTTGCAAGCTTTAATCGCCAACACCGAAAAGTATGCTACGTTTTTAATATTTTTATACCACAAAATCAATACTGAATATTACATAGTCGGCTCTGTCGACTATTTTCACCCCACCTGTTTGTGCTTGTTTAGCTAGACACCGTGTTGGCCAAAGTTTGTTTAGTGATATGATAGCTGTATATTTTTGTGTATTTTTCATAGGCGTGTGTATTTACTTATTTTGTGTGTGTGTGTGTGTTTTTTGGATGTTATAACTGTCAATGTCTTTTTTCTACCTCTTTCCCCCGTATTCAACCGACACATCGACACCACCAACATAAACGTATATGAACGGCCATAGCTACCCACTGTCACATCGGCCATCACAACGCAAAATGGCAACCACCATGGGATGAACAGCAGCAGCGGCGGCAACAGCAACAGCAACAGCGGCAACAGTCACAGTCATGGTCGTAATGGCATTGCCGCCACAATGACGACATCCACAACGACAACGGCGCCGACGGCAGCGGCAGCGGCATCGGCCACCTCGGCAGGTGTCACATTCACGGGGAACAAGCAACATCAGCAACAGCAGCAACAGCAACAGCAACAGCAACACAAGAGTGCGGCAGATGCGGCGCATCACTTTCATAACCCGCTCAGCAATACGCAGTGCAATGAAGTAAATCCCACAATTTATGAAGAGCTCAAACTTGGCCAAGAAGGTGCTGGATTTAAGAAACTTGTGCCATAAACGTAGCACAATAACAATAACAACCACAGAGACAGACAAGAACAACAACATGAACGAAAACAAACCAAGTATAGCTAGCGAACTTATATATATATATATATATATATATATATATACTATATATATATAGAAATATATACGCTAAATGTAGACATAGGCCGTGTAAACAGCGCGAAGCGCAACCTCAAACAACTACACTTACACAAACAAAAGCAAAAGCACAAACACAGACACAGACACAGACACTGACAAAAACAAGCACACAAACACATATACACACACACACTCACACACATGTAGACAGTGTGTACTGTGACATCTTTACAGAATGCATTGCGAGAAAAAAACGTTGGGTAACATAAATTTTTGCTTGCAAAAATCTTTTGGGTAGCGTGTAATAAGTAATAAATTTTTAGTATGTAACTGTGATTCAACCAGATTAAAACAAAACAAAAAAAGACAAAAACAAAAACAAAAACATAACAAAACAAAAACGATGTAAAATAATTAACTAATTGGTAATGAAAGTAAGCAAAACTGATTGAGAAAAAAAAAGAATACCAATGATTAGTAAAAATCTATATATGCTAAATGTGTTCTCATTTTGGGTTTCGTTTTGGGGCTAAAACGCTTGAAATGGTCTAGAAGTTGATATATTTTGTAGTCCCTTAATTCCTTTATTAACTTGAATTATTTTTTGAATCTTCTTATCTTTATAAAGCTACTTTCCTTTTACTATTTCTTTGGCTTTCCCGAAGTGTATGTAAACAACGGTAGAGTACAATATTAAAAGATGCCTCCATTCTCCAAGAACCTCAACCTTCGTCTCTGCTGCTCATCCTCTGCCTCTGCTCCACCACCTCGCGCATCATCCTCGTGTTTACGCCTTTCTCAGTGCTTCTCATTTTGTTGAGGACGAAGATGGAAGCGTTCGTTCGTTTCGCCTCATGCCATGTCACATGTTTGCTCGTGTAATGTTGCATACGTTATGGCGACTAGTACACATACACTTGTACCTCTTCAAACACATACACTGGCATTATTAGCAAAAGGACGCATCCGCATCCGCATCCACATTTCACATTCGCATCCGTATCCGCATCCGATGGAGGAGAAAAAAGCCAGCCAGCGATATGCGCACAAAGTTTAACTTTCATATGTAAATTCCTTTTTATTACGAGTACAATATCCGAAAGAGAGATATCTACAGATGGTGGAGGGGTGCCTCCTCCTGATGGAGGAGTTTTGCTGCCGCTCAACATGATACACTCATAATCCGTTATGATCTGATACTGATACGGATGATGCCATCATAGTGACAGCCTGTGCCACCAGAGATTATTATAATTTAGTTACCAGAACGCGGCCCCGGCCGACGACACTTGTGCGCCCATTCTTTATGCAAAATAAGCAACGACGAAGGCGGAAAGTGAAATCTGGCAGATTTTTCGTATGATTGGAGCAAAGCGTGTAAACAGCGATAGAGTAAACTTCATAAATGTCAAACAACGGAAGGCTTAAAATGCTTGGGCATTATGGCATATAAGCGTCAACCCATCTGTTCATTTCTTTTTCTTTTTCTTTTTTGCACAGCGAAAAAAAGCCTTCTTTTTATCAGGATAGTCTTGTAAACTTTGGTTTATCTGCGTTTAATACTGAATTTCAGTAGAATATGATTTTATAAGGGGAATCTGTGAAACCAAAAGTAAAAACTTAAAATAGAAAACAAATTTCCTTAAGTTAAAGTTCTTAACATTATATTTCTAAAACATTATCTAGTCAAGGATTTATTCCAACTTTAACTTATGCAAATTTCTATAATATTTTGTTCTCTGCATGGACATCCTTCGCCTTTCAAATTCCACTTTAATAAGTAAGCAGGAGCCGAGAGTTCAGTCGAGCTCATCAAAATGTTGCAGGAGGTCTTGAGCAACTTCCGTTTTTTGATCTGCTGATGGTTTGCTGAAAACGCTGGCAGAGTGCAATGGCTCTGAATAAACGCCGCTTGAATTATGCAACACGTTTAAGTGCCTGCATTCTTTGTGCCGAAATACACACACACACAGACACACACGTGTACGTGTACCATACCGCCCCCCTCCCCCTGAATCTTTTGTGCATTTTTGTTTACCCAACTGCAGAAGGTTCTTTGGTTGGCTACCTGGCTGGCTGCTATAGATGCTGATAAAACTGTTGACAGTCGCCAGATAAAACTGGAAATTTACAAGTAAATGATATTGTCTGGCAACCAGCTGCCCACTTTGTGGCTGATTGCACTTTACCTCTGCCGTGGAGTGTCCTTGTCTAAGGGGAACACCTGCTTACCAGCTTCGTCCTGCGATGTCTATAATGAGTTTTTCGCTGCAACTTTACTGTTATGCATAAATTATAGAAATTTGTATTGATGAATATAGTTCCTGGAAGGAAAGTTGCATTGTGTTGTCAAAGGAAAGTTATGAAGAGTAAAGAAAAGGGGAATGATTTAGGTAAGGTGGAGAGAGTTTTTGAAAAGAATTTTTAGGAATTGCTTTAAGATTGAAGCTCTACCCACTCTGACTTAGATTTTTCTTAGCTAATCAGAACATATTTCTAAACCCACAATGTAAATCTCTTAGGGAACAGAAAGCTAACTAAATCTAAACCAAAAAACCTCTTAAAATATTAAACTTGAAAACTAAATGGAGTATATTCGTTTATTATTTTCATATACGTAAATCGCATCAATGGTTTATTCCCAGTTACTTGACATGCTCTCAGAATATTGGTTGTCAGGCAATAACTTCAAACAGATATGACATAATAGATTTAGATAGAAAAGCTATTTTAAAAATTTAGATCCATTCGAGAATCACAAATGAAATGAAAGCAATGCCGATGGATGGGGACATAAAAGCCAATTTCACAGTATGCCAAGTGATTTATTGAGACAGAGAGCTCACCTCCTCGTTGGTCTCTCTATGCGAGACCAGACCCATACCCTCCTCCCTTTAGGATTCCCTTATGCTATGTAGAGCGGCAGCTTTTATTTATCGCTAAACTAATAAATCTTGGCATAAAAATGGAAAATATTGTATACGCCATGTTGTGCCGAGTCCTATGAATCGACGGCTAGGCAAACACAAAAAAAAAATAGAGGTTATAGCACAAAAACTCATAAGTGGCAGCGGTTTAAGCAATGACCACAAAAAACTTATACCCCATATAAATTTCATATTAAATAATGGTTTAATGATTTTATTTGTTTATTTGTTTCCGGCGAACCAAACAATTAACTCTAACGAACTGTAAACTTCACAAAATAAACGCAAACGAAAACAATAATGATCATAAAAAACTCACAGACACGCTGCGTGTCAAAGTACAATGGGTGAGTAGTGGGCCGGCGATATTAATTTTTTAATGTCCTTGTCCTACAAAATTTTATTGGCTATTGCTTCCTTGTTTTTTTTTTTTTTTTTTTTTGGGTTCCTTTATTTCTTGCTCGTTTTCTTTATGATTATTACTTGATGTTTGCCCGGTTGGAATTATTTTTTTATGAATTTTTACAGCTTCCGCGGTAAATCACAAATCTGTTTTCTTACACTTATAAATTTTTTTCGTTGTTTTTTTGCTGCCTACTTTTTGGGGTCGTCGTGCGTGGCTTAGGCCTTCGAGTTTTAATTGCCAAAGCGTGGACAGGCAGGTTGTCGCCTTGGTCCTGACACAGGATTTATGGGAAAATCACCGACAAGAGCAGCACAAAATTTGGGTTTAATGGCATTGCGTGAGTTAAGCGCATTAGGGAAGAAATGCAGAACAAAACAGAACAGAAAAAACAAAACTAAAGAGCAGATCGCACACGTAAGTACTGCTCTAAAATAATACTTATATTTATGTCTGCCTGTTTGTTTGGCACTTTTTTTACACACACACATACACCCACTATGGTACTTGTAATAACAATTAACAATTAACTTTTTATGGGGCCATGCATGTTGTTGGACATATATAATAAATGTTTGTTAATGCCACCTATCGATTCTGTTATAGTTTTTTTCCCCGTGCTAATTATATAATTTACAGACACATATGGCACCCGTTAATATTGTTGTAAATATGAGGGGCATTAATGTAAATAAATGTGGTTGGCCACCCACTGACTTAAATCAGTCGTAAGGCATAAGTATTAATGCATGAATCGATGAGTCTGATGAGTGTGCGTGCGGTAAGTATACAATACATTCCTGTTGATTTTATTGCCAGCTCTTCAATAATTCCCACTCTCTTATGTGTGAGCCAGAGAGAGAGAGAGAGTGTGGTTGGCTCGAGGGATGCTTCACTTGACCGGCGTTATGTTAATTGAGCCTGATTGACCCGTGCGAGTGTCTTATGGCATCGTTAATCCGAAATGTTTCGTTATGAAAGCGGAGAACTGCTGAGAATTCATTCTGGGATAACAATAGCTTTTAGATTGCTTTCGAAGGTTATTTGAGTTTCATTAAAGATATCTTTAAGTTTGTGTATTTCTATTATTTAAGATTTAAAATGATCTTAAATCTTAACCTTAACCTATAGATAGGCTTTAAATACCATAAACTTTCTCCTACATTTCACCCTTGTATGCTGACCATACAGCATTATTGCATATCACATCATTTTCTTGCCATTTGTTTAAGCATTTCATAATTAAACCAAACAGTAGGAAAATTTCTAGAAAATTCCGTAAGCAATTAAGAGCTGGCAAAGAAATTCCTTAATTTAATGAAGACATTCTGGCTAACCATCAGAACAAAAACAGATGGCCGTAGAAACCAGGAGACCATTTAAGCTCAACCACCTAATGAAAGACATCTGGCTGGTGACCACAAATGGCCAGGCATCCGAGATGCATTAACCAAAGATGATGCCAAGGCATTTCCAAGTGAACGCCACGCGGCGTATGCGTAATGTTACACTCAACAGTCGGCAGAGAACATCTGCCTTTTACCCTTTTGGCAGTACGATGTGTCAAAAGACAGAACAAGAACCGCAGGTGCGGTATTCCCTGCTCTCTGGCTTTTGTATGTTTGTGTATGTGTTTGTGCATGTTTTTTGGGAGGGGAGGCGAGGGTGGTGTAGCTGTCGGTGGGCGGCTCAAGTGCTTTTGCATACTGTAACTGTACAAGTAACAACATGCACACGGGGGCCAAACATTTTTGTAAACACAGTTTACAGTGCGGTTAACAAATATTCATGGCGCACACGGCGTATGAGTGTTGCCCTCGTGGCACTTGATAAAACGCGAACACTTTGGTCCACGGGGAGGCGGCTCGCGTTGGCAAACAGCAAAAAGCCAACAGAGAATTGGAGGGCATCAGATGGGGAATGTGACCGGGTGATGAGACAAACAAAACATAAAAGGAAAGCCTCAAAATACTTTATTATACTTTCTAATTTTCCTTTTTATCGTTGCTAGCTTGCATCTTTCTGTGGCATTTATGGGTATTAGTGGTAGGAAGTTTGCAAAAAATCGTTTTATCGTTCGGTTTTTGATAGTGCAAGGGTGGCAGTATTATTTTATAGATTTAAAAGATAGCTGTGTTTCATAAAAAAATTATTAAAA